CAAGAATCCCTTATGTTTCGAAAGATTTATAGACTTCGTTGAGCTCAATTATTCGCCTATTTACATGTGGATTCAAGAGAAATGGCAGTATCTTGAACTTGATCACTAAAAAATGATTGACAAATTGTATGCATGATCTAATAACATTTGGATCTAAATTCTGATCTTTTGATAGCTGTTAGAAATAACTTTGTCATTTGTAGGTTTAAAACAAGAAAAAATAACAGAAAATGAGAAGTTGATTGAGGTTTAAAAGAAAGGAGTTAAAGGACGTTAGAGAAAATGACATGAAATCTAACTTTTAACCAATTGTGGGGAGTTTCTGATTCATAATTTGATAGTTTTATACCTTTATATGTATGCCAGGTCAATGAGCACTATTTTGAATTTGCATATGGTGCTGGTTTTTTACAACAGGTTAATCCATATCATGGTGGAGAAACTAGAAAGGTGATTGCTCACTCTACCTTGATTTTACAATTTTGAACCTCTATTTGCCATCTTTCTTATTTTTTGATTATTTTTATTAAGAATCACATCAGGTACTCATAGTTGCTCATGTTGGAATGGCAGTAGAAAAGAAAGTAACTATCAGTACACATGTAAGCTTGATAAAATGGTTGTAATGAACTTATACCAATTTGTTTCTCTAAAGACTATTCATAACTTATTACATTTAGTTATTTGTTTCTCTAAAGACTCACAAGGGTTAGTTATTGGTTTATGTACAGACTATTCATAACTTATTATGTTTTCATTAAAATTACATTTTTAGTGTTTTTGATTTGACTGCTAAGGAGATCAACTGATAGTTTCTATTTGATGCCGGTTGAGTTTTCTTAGGATTTCTACAATCTGCCTTCTGTATCGGCTTGAAGACCCAGTCCTATTTTTGGGTAAACCTACATCTGTTTTGGCATCCATCTGGTAAAATAGGGTAAGAAACTATTCAGATTCTCCTCTCATTGATAAAAAAATGGTGTAACATTGGCTCTTCAAAATAAAGATCAGCTCCTTCTTGTTATTTTTTGATAACTGTTTAATATCATTTTAAATATATGTTCAGATTTTAAATGATAATGAAAATTGCGAGGTTTGGTAATTTAAACGGGAAATTTAAGAGCTTTTATGTTTATTTACTTTGTGGATTCTCTGGTCTCTATTTAAGTTTTGATTACTGATTTTATTGATAATGATTGGAGATAGTGCTTATAACATTTTTTTTTTCTCTTTTTTCTGAATGAACATAAGTGAGTTTCAAAATATTAGGTGAAAAAATGAAAATCCTAATCTCTTACTCTCTCTTACGCTTTCAGGTCTCCGCCCCTGCTTCTCTATGTACAATTATACAAGGAGCAAAACAACATATTGGGTGACAAAATGGTTTAGGATCTATGTTTCCTTGAATTATGTTACTATTCATGTTATCCGGGATAAATAAACATGTCGATTGGAAAGCTCATCAAGAGACTCATGTAACTTAGGATTATAAGTGTGTTTATGCCTTATGGTACTGATCGTCTCAAGGTTCGATTTCCAAACTATTTATGGTACCAAGTGGTTATGAGATGAAAACTTATAAAATCATGTAATTATCATGGTATGTGGTCTTACTTTATTGATACTAGGTGCAACTATAGATGTTCCATCTTTTTTAACGCTTGACATCTTAGTGTCTCTAATAAGAAAAAAAGTGTATATTTATCTCCTAGAATCCGTATGCATATGAGCTGATATATTTCCGAAATGATTTTGTGTCTGGCTTTTGTTTTTCTCAGCTGCCATTAATTTATGTACAGTGAAAATAATTAGGGAACCAGGTCAAAATGATGGATAATGTGAATTATATATGTGTAAATAAAATATTATTATGTTTTAAAGTATTTCGTTTTTTGGATGTTCTGCACATCACTAAAAATGGCAATGTATTTTTGTTGCTTTTACTATTCCTGTTATAATAATCTACTTTGTAAAACTTTACCGTATTACAAATTCAATATTGCAGTTGATATAACACCTCTCGGCTATGTGGTACTTGGAGATGTTAAGCTTTACCTATAGCGGACATTACAAAAGAGCATGAACTTAGGAGCCTACTGTTGTGACTGCAATATTTAACTTTTCATTAATTTGGTTACTTCTCTTGTATTAATTATTACACTTCCTGATTCAAATTTAGCTTCTATAAAGTATGATGCACACCTTAAAATATTAATCATTATAACATGATCTTGATCAAATAATACCTATTTAATCATATTTAATCATAGGTGGATGTTACTTGGTATAATGTGTTATTATTTATGTTGAATTATTTGTTACTTTTAACTTAAATATGACTTATGGTTGGAATGGGATTAAGCTTTGCATCATCCACCTAAAGGGACGATGTGGCCTTAGTACAACTCCAAGTATGCTTAAGTTAAACATTAATATTCCAAAGTTCAAACCTCAATTTTTGGTCAACATTCCTTAATATAATATAAGAAAACACTTTATAAAGTTTATTTGTGAAAATCAACCTTAATTCTCAATTTTAGGTAACGAAGTATCTAATCAGTGTTCGTATTTTTAATGCAAACTCCATATTTAAGACTTGTGAGAGTCTCATAGTAATGTTAAGTATTTTTTCGTTCTGATGGCTTGGTAAACTTTGAATATGGTCTATATTTTACATTTTTAACATTAACTGTCTTAATTTTTTGTAGTAATTTATTTCAAATTTGAATCGTTTATGTTGTGTTGTTTGGTATACTGTGGATATATATTTTGTGTATTCGAAGAACCTAAAGATTACAATCTTTTTAGTATGATATTGTCATTTTCTCCATTTTATTGAAATAAGACCTTGTGCAAAAAGAAACCTATTAGCCTCGAATTTGAATGGAATCTAATTGCCATAATGAAATTATTTTTTGAAAATAAAAAATATTTCTATTCATCGTCCTCCATGGGTACCTCTTTAAATTAGTGGGGACATCAACAATTTTTAGTCCTAAATAGAAAGTACTACTATTTTTATCTCAAAGATAACAAAATTTTATTTTTATCGTAAAATCATAGTATATTTATATTGTTAAACCAAAACAACATACGTACGCTTGTTACTCCTATCCCAAACCATAATCGTAGAAACCAAAATACTTGCCAAAAATAAACAATTCACTGCCTTAGCACCATATCACATTGCAAATTAAGAACATACTTTTCTTTTTATCGTGAAACAACAACATGCCTAAAGAATTTTAATCGCCGAAGAAACAATTCGCCAAAGGGTTGAAATTGAACAATCAAACACAAAAATATAACTAACTGACACATTAAAACTATATGGCGTCGTTGCCAGATAAAAAGTAATAGATGAAAACTACTATTTGTTGTCCGTCTAGAGACAACTAATCGTTAAAAGGAACAAATCTACGGAATTAAACACATCGAAATGAAACAGTTGGACGATCGCCGAAATGACACTAATTTTTGTTCGTAAACTAATCGCCGGAATGAAACAAATCGCCGCCGCCGCATTGCGCGGGTACGCTACTAGTATATATATATATATATATATATATATATATATATATACACACACACACACACACAAATTTAATATTTCAAAATTTTCGTTTTTGCTCCACATTAAATTTCTGAATTAGTTTCCTTAATTCAAGACTTCAAACTTTTGACAAGTATTAATGAATTATTTATGCATAATTGATTTGTATAAAAAACTTTGTAACTTGTACCTATTATAATTCAAGATATGAGTAATATGTTTTAAAATATAATATAAGATTCATAAATTTACAATTTACAATTTTATATTATGAATTTACAATTTACAATTTTATACACTCATCACAATGATTCTTAAAGAAATATATATATTTTTACTATAAATAACAATAATAAATTTGTTTCCTAAAAATCTAGAATTCATTAATTTGTTTCCTTATATAAAGATGCACAAAATGTGCAAATTAACCCTAAGACATTTTGAGATTTGAATTCTTAAAAGAAAATAATAAATGTAATAATATTCTTTCAAGAATGATTTTATTTTTCATTGATCCAATGGCTACGAATCAATTACACAGTTACATAATAGATGCTAGTTACAAATGACCATAGCCTTATATAGGGCAATATTCATGTGTTCATCTATTATATGTTATAATATATCAATAGGAATTTAGTAAAAATAAAAATATTATTTAATCAAATAAAGATAGATATTAAATGATTTCCATAATTGTTTGTATATTAAATGATATCCATCATTATAATTTTTTTATGGAAATTAATTAAACTCGTCATTAATGACAGCAATAACATTCTTTCAGAATTAATTCACATCTAGGCATTCATATATGAGTTATTGTTTTGTGTTAGGACCTACTCACTTAAAATACAACAAAGTTGCATGGAACATCGAGAATGAGAGTATATTCTCTTAGAAGACACTCTTTTTTTTTATTAGAATACACTCTCATTTTGCTAGAATAAACTTTCATTCTGCTAGAATACACTATCATTCTCTATGTTCCATTCATTTTTGTTGTATTTTGCGTGAGTAGGTTATGAAACAAAGTACGAACATATACATGAAAATCTAGATGCGAATTTATTCTGTAAGAATATTATTGTTGACATTAATTATAAATTTAATTAATTTCCATAAAAGAGAAATTATAATTATGGATATCATTTAATATACATATAATTATAGCAATCATTTAATATTTATCTTTATTTGATTAAATAATAATTTAATTTTTACTAAATTTTTATTGATATAATCTAGCACACAATAGATATGAGAAACACATGAACCTATATATATATATATATATATATATATATATATATATATATATATATATATATATATATATATATATAAAAATTAATGGTATGTATTAAATCTATTACCTTGTTTAAGTATTCATCGAACCTATATATGTATACCATATCTATTGGAGTGATACACACAAATTCAATACAATCTATCTCTTTTACTTAAAAAAATGGTTCAACCAAGAAGTCCTTGCCAAATTCTCTTGATCATTGTTCTTTGTAGTGGTAAGTTTTTTTACATATGGATTCCTTGCCAAGTAGTAAATCTCTAAGGGTTTTATTTTAATGGTTCACATTCTATCTATAAGTACCTAATTCTTTTCTTATTGTTTGTATATGTATAGTTTCATGCAAAAGTCCTGTCCTCATGAATCTCCATTAAACTAGCATTATTACTTCATTTCTAGTTTTGAATTACATTATTTTATTAAATTTACTATGGTATAATAACTTATCAGTATAGGCCATATATGCATGACAACAATAAAGTAATTGAAAAGTATTTATTTGGCCATGGTTGCAGCACTATGTTGGAGACCATTGATGAGCTCAATGTTGGAAACCGTTGATGGGCCAATGGCTATGGATAATAGAGAGAACACTGATCCAAAGAATTACTATTGTTGTAAAAGTTTTAATAGGCCGTCATGTAATCCACAAGTTTGTAACAGTGATTGTACAAAAAAAGGGTGCGCGGGAGGGATTTGCAAAATAGAGGGCACCCTAAAATGTCATTGCAGATGCTAAAGCATATTGGGATTTTCTATTGATTAGAAGTTGTATGGTGAAATAAATAATATAAGAGATATTTTATTTATTTATTTCCTATTTATAGAGCGAAATAAAAGAGTATTTAATAATAGTAAGTTTCAATAATGTGTTATGGGTGACTATTATTATGTTCTATCATCACCTGATCGAGTACGGTTTGTGTTTGTGTTAATTAGCATCACGTTGGTCACATTTCATCAAAACTATGAGAGAAGTCAACATTAATTATAGAAAATGTGAACCAATTCCAAAGTTAAGGAAAAGAAAAGGGAAATTTTCATATATATCCTTATAAACACTAATAATTACGTATATATCCTTTCAAAATTTATAAGTACTTATATATCCTTCTTAACCTATTAAACTCTCATTTATATCCAAACATATAATTTAATAAGCTATAAATCATTTTAATATCAAAAGATATATTTAAAAATTAAAAATACATATAAAGTTACCAAAATACCCTTTTGCAAATAAAAGATTAAATTAAAATCATGGTTAATTATGATTAATCTTGGCAATGTGATTCTCCATATCATGTGATTCTCTTTATCATACTCAAAATCGTGATTCCTCCTAATCATACGTCGACTGCAGTTGGGGTCTTCTTCATCACATCTACTTCATTAGGTCTTCTTCCTCACGTCTTCTTCATTAGTGAAGTTCGGTTTTTCTCATCACATGTATATATCTATTACTGATTTAAGTAATTTTGGCTGTATGTTTGATTAGCTTTTGGAATTTATTAATTGTAATGTCGTTTTTTCTTCTCCTCCTATTATAATCGCAACAGGCAATCCGTTGTTTATTCAATTAATTTTGATGGATGATGAGATTGATACACCAACATGGGAAATAAGTGTTCAGTCCCCGATAATTGAGTAAGTTCTTACAAGCAAGATGAATGATATTTTATGTGGCACTTCAATTCCATTAATTATTTTTTTCATTATGGTTGTCAAGCAAGTAATATCGAAATACAAGTTCAAACTGAAATATGAAGGCTTCTTTCAGTTAGCCAGGAACTCATATAAGCAAGTATATTATTTTGGATTTACAAAATTTCTTTATGTAGACACATGTTCGTACGACTTAGATCATCTAGTTGAAGAGGTGAAAAAACAGTATCCATCACAAAGCGATATTGTTTTGTCAATAGTATTTTTTGACAAACATGCAAAAGAGCATTGTTTTATTGAACTTGATAATGATGAGAGCTTCATGGTGATGCTTAACATGTATAATGAAGAGAAAGAAGTAATAATTTATGTGACAACCGAAAAATTAAGGTATAACCCTAAACCATTTAGTTGTCAAAATCAAGTTAATGATGAACTTGATGATGAAAATGAGACAGACTCAGTTTGTCCAAGTCAAGAAAGCTATCATAGTCTTCATAGTTCCGATAATGAATATAAGCTTCTAAATTATGGCGAAACTTATGCATATAGTAAGTTAAATCCATTTATGAAAGTGAATTCTAAATTCCCTAGTGTAATTGCTTTTAGAAGAGCATTGAATCATTACGCACTAACAAATTAATTTGAGTATGTCATTAAGAAAAGTGATTTGACAAGACTTACAACATGTTGTGGAGATAAAAAGTGTAAGTGGAGAATTCATGGTTCTCTTACACAAGATGGGGTTACTTTTGAAGTAAGTATAAAATTTGAGAAATACTACATTCATCGACATTGTTATTATGTTAACATAATTATATGTTTATTTTTCAATTTTGTAGGTAAAGAAATTTATAGAAACTCATTCTTGTACTCGAAGCAACAAGAGTGGTAACAAAAATGCCACTCAATGATGGATTGTTGATGTTGTTACCGACAAGTTGAAATCTGAAGGCGACGTCTCTCCTGCAGACCTAAAAAGGTGGCTTATGCATACCTACAATGTTGAAGTACCATATATGATAGTCTTTAGAGGAAGAGAACAAGCTTATACCGATATGTATGGCAAGTGGGATGACTCTTATACAAATATATAAGATTTCAAACAAGAACTTGAAAAAAGAAACCCAGGAAGTGTGGCGGAGATTGATTTACAGACAGTTGGTGAAAAGAAACATTTCCTACGCTTTTTATATCATTAATATCATGCTCTAAGGGGTTTCTTGCTAGTTTTCGTCCTTACATTGGGCTTGACGCTTGTCATTTGAAAGGGAAATTTAATGGTGTGTTAGCTGCTGCCACAAGTATCGGCGGTAACAATGGTATGTTTCCAGTAGCCTATGGTGTGCTTGAGGCAGAGAATACAAAATCATGGACTTGGTTTCTCGCGTCACTAAAAAAGCGATTACTACACCAAATGGTCTTTTTATCTCTTCTGACATGCAAAAGGCTTGGAATTAGCTATTACACAGGTTTATCCTAATATTGAGCATCGAAAATGCATAAGACATTTATGTAGGAACTTCAAGGAACATTTTCGAGGTGACTTTTTCATGAGAAAACTATGTGAGGCTATAAATACATACTCTGTTAGTAAGCATGATAGATTATTAAAGGAAATTGCTACTAAATGTGCAGATGCAATTTCATGTTTGAATGAGAACCATAAAAAGATATGGAGTTGAAGTAAGTTTGGCACACTTGTCAAATGTGATTACATTACCAACAACATTTCAGAAACTTTTAACTCTTGGATAGGTGACATACGTTATAAACCGGTTCTTGGTCTCCTTGATGCAATTAGAGAAAAGCTTATGGAACGATTTAACAATAAAGGGAGTAAGGTGCAAAAATGGAAAGGGCCACTTCTGCCAAAAGTAAATAGGTATCTCAAAACAATCATTAAGGCAAGTTAAGGAACTATAGATATACATAACTGTTTTTGCATTATACATATATATATTTTTCTAGATATTAGTTTGTTCTTTTTTTTATTTTCTCATGTAGAACTTGGGTGAATATCAAGTTTGTAGAAGCAGTGATAATAAAGCAGAAGTGAAGTACAAAGGATGTCGTTGGGATGTTGTATTGGATGAGAAAAAGTGTAGTTTTCGAAAATGGCAAGTTACAGGCCTTCCATGTGTGCATACAACTGCTTTTATTGCTTTCACAAGGGATCCTAATTGGGAAAAATATGTTGATACATATTTCACAGTAGACAAGTTTAAAGAAGCATATGCTTTAGAAATTAGTCCGATGTCTGGAAAAGATCAATGGGTGAATATAGAGACAGTCGAAAAGAATATACCCTCTTATTATAAAACGACCGCCTGGATGACCTAAAAAGAATAGAATTATACCACATGATGAGCCCAAGAAAAGACACAGATGTCCGCGTTGTAGTATGTATGGACACCATCAAAGGACTTGCAAACATCCCGTGTATCAAGGTTTTGATGAAGCATCCTCTAGCAAGTGGAAAGAAAACAAAATATCATGAGTTTTTGTTATGATGTTCATTACATTTAAGTACTTTAATGCTTGCTGCATGGATTTTTTATTTTTTATTTTTAATTTTGGAGCATGTTTTTAATGAATTTATTCCACATAGATTGTTTTTGTAATGTATTTTCTCCAATAAGAACCATTTATATAAACATTTTCTGCTATAGGGATTGCAATTGTCATCTATTTCTCTAGTAGGGACCATTTTGTAAAGATATTATGTCATACGGGTTGTTTGTGTAATATATTTCTCCCATGGGGGACCATTTCTGTAATCAAATTCTGCATATAGACCGTTTTTGTAAATTTTTTTTTGCCATATAGACCATTTATGTAATGAGTTTCTGGCACATTGACCAAATCTATAACTGTTATTGGGTACAAGGACCATTTTTAATTTTTTTTCTGAAACAAGGACTGTATTTGTAAAGTTTTTTTCTGAACATGGACCATATGTGTATTTTTTCTGAAACATGTACCAAATCAGTAGTGCTTTTTGTGCAGAAGACAATTTTTAAATGTTATTCCGAAACACGGACTATATCTGTAATGTTTTTCTGAAATAGGGGCCATATGTGTAATGTTTTTTCTAAAACATAGACCAAATCTGTAATGTTTTTGTGCACAAGACCATTTTAAATGTTATTTTGAAACATGGACTATATATGTAATGTTCTTTTGAAACAGGGAACATATGTGTAATGTTTTTTCTTAAACATGGACCAAATTTTTAATGCTTTGTGCACAAGAACCATTTTGTCCAATTTTTTTTAATAGCCATAGGGACCATATTGGCAATGTTAACATGCTACAGGGACCAATTCGGTTTTTTGTGCCATAAAGAGCAATTTTATAACTGTAACAGCCCGAAATCCAGGTATGCTTCTGTTGGCCTTGCATCTTGATTAAGTTAATGATTTAGGGTTTTCATGGTAGGCGAGTATGCTGGGCGTACAAGGTGTTCGTTGCGCGTACTCGCGCGCCTCATTTGGACGCGTTCCCCCTCAGGTACGCGGGGCGTACCCAAGGTTACGCCCGGCGAAACTCATTCAGACCCAAACCCTAATTTCCTTTGTTGAGGCTATAAAAGGAATGTGTGGCTGGACTTCTCAGCCACCACCCCTTAGAGTGAAACCCTAAATAGGGTGTGCCATCGTCCTTAAGCCTTTGTGTGGGGCATTCTAAGCTTGGTAGTGCCATTTTAAGGTTTCAAAGGAGAAGAAGAGCTTGTTGGAGAGGCTAGAAGTGGTGCTCAAGTGTAGATCTGAGCTTTGCAAGGGTTAAAGCTTCAATTTCTAGTAAAAAGTTCGGATCTTGACACTTGGTTCTTGTTGTATGCTTTAGATGTCATTTTCTAGGGTTTAAGTCCAAAAAGGTGGAGACTTTTGTGCAAATGGCCTCCATAAGCTTAGATGCTTCATGTTTCTGACCTATTGGAGTTGTTGATTCATAAAAATGGCATCTTGGACGTGGGTATTGCACCATGCATGAGATCTAGGTCCTTGAGTTTGAATAAAAGGTTGTTATGTGATGTTGGAGCCTTTACAGCCATGCCAAGGCTTAAAGGTCTCGACTTTATGGGTTTAGACACACTAAAGGAGTCGGATCTGGAAGTTGGATTAATTACTTAACTGATTAAGACCAGAAATGGAGGGTGGCTGATTATGGTGGTTACATAGGGCGTAACTTCCAGTACGCACCGTGTACTGGGTGGAGACCCTGATCCAGGGGGAGTTGGCGATGTACGCCCCGCGTACATCTAGCGGTACGCCCCACATACTCTCATGGTTGACTTTTGTTGACTTTTAGGGTTTTGGTCAACATGAGGACTTTAGGTCAAGGAAGGGTAAAATGGTCTTTTACCCTTTCAAGAAGGATGATAAGGGGTAAAGTTTTAGTAGTGGAAGTCTTCGTGTATTAAATGATATTTTTATGTTTAGGCGAGGTTGAGTCGTCGTTGGATTCGGTGATAGCGAGGACACGAGATCTTAGACTTCCCACGAGGTGAGTCTTCTCACTATACTATACCCGGAAGGGTTTGACTGTGTGACCGGAAGGTCAAATATGATATGAGATATATGCATTATGTGTGATAAGTTAATCGTAATATGCACCCAAAATGTGTAGAAACCCTACGGAATTAGTAAGCTACGTTTTTGGTACCCAAGGGGTCCTTAATTAGTGAGGCTATTAGGGTTATCTAACAAGGAAACCCTAATTTGATTGCTTAGGCCCTAAGCAACCCATGGACTCCCTCCTTAGAGGCCTTGGACGATTTCTAATGGGTTTCCCCATAGAATTCGTCCGCACCTTTAATATGGAGTCCATTAGCCCAATATTCAACTATCATACAATTGATAGTTCTAGTCCCTTAAGTTTAATTAATATCTTTTAGCCACAAAATTAATTATTATTTAACTATTGACTTATATTAATTAAACAATATAATTTCTCCTTTAATATATTATTCTCATAATATATTAATAAATCATAATTAATTCTCTCTCTCTCTCTCTCCATAATTCATCCTATCAAGTTGCTTTGGTGAAGGCAATCCAAAAGGACCATGCACCATCGGTTCAAGTACATACCAAAATAGTTATGAACTTAGACACTAATCCAACAGTTTATATATTCATCCAAATTATTGGTGTTGTAAGACTCATATTTTTGCTTTATTGGTTAAATGTTTGTTTTTCAACACACCTCTAACCCCAAAAGCAATCAAGATACCTGAAATCATGAATCTTATTCTATATGGCAACAAGTCCCTACCGAGGATTCACCTAATATAGGAGAAGTGGTAATCATTTTCATTCATCTAGCCTATATCTATTATGCAATTTAACATTTGGTTTCTATCTTTTGCATTTCCTAATGTATGATTGATTTATTTTTTTGTGATATGTTAATGTGTACTAAGCTATGGCATCAATAAAAAGAGTTAGAAAACAAAGTTACTCAATCAAAGTTATTGAACAGATGAACACAAAGTTGCAATTCCATTTTTTTTACATAGCTAAAGGAAGGATGCAGAGGCTAGACAAGGTTTCTTGAAAGTGTAGTTTGTCAAAAATGGTAAATCGCTTTTCCGACGTTAATCTTGAATGGCAGGGGTTCTTCATCGTCTAAGGGCATGTTTGACATTTCCTGGTTTTTTGAAAAAGTCGTTTTTTTCACTAAAAAGTTATTGTTGACGAAACACTTTTTTTTAACTTATTTGCTTTTTGAAAAGTCAATAAGTTAATTAGTGATTATAACAAGTACTCCTAAACACCCCTAATATCAAAGAAAAAAGATCCCTTCATTCTCAATTCAACCTCATCATGATACCATATTACTAATAAAATAGAGAATATTAATTTTGTTTGAATTTGTGAATCTAAAATGTATACTCTTGTTGGTTGTAGAATCATGAAAGTGAACAAAAAAATGATGGGCCTGGTGATACCTTTTTGATACCTCAGAGGAAGATGAAAAGAAATAGAGAATTGAACATGGAATTTGTGAATACCCATTCGAGAGGAAAGCAGTCAAGGACAATTCTGATTGTCAAGGAGCTCCTAATTACCTTATGTGGGAGTCTATGATCTGATGACAACAAGCCCATTGAATTTGATTCTTGTTTGCCCTCTCATCGACATATCTTTTAACAAACTTTTGTTAGACATCATCAATCTCTCTATCGGTTGTACTTGTAAGTTAATAGGATTTGTTTCTTTCTATTACCACTTGTTGAGTTCTTTCGTGCACTTATGCAGAAGTGGTTTTACATATAGCGGATGGCTGCAGGTATGATTATGTTTATTTTTAAATTATATGATAAATGTCATACATAATAATATATGTTTGTTTTAACAGAAAAAGTACAACAATACTTACGAAGTGGGCAGAATATATGGTTAAAAAAAATAAAGAGGGGATTCAAGGATTGTCGGTATCCGGTGTGGACAATACAACATATCCAGTGCATGACTTCAAAAGTGGTGGCATTGTGAACTTAAGGGAAAAGACTTATTCTTACAGATATTAGCAACTAACTGGTTTGCCATGTAGTCATGTGATAATGGTTTTAACACACTTGAAAATTGATCACTGTGGGCATATGGCTATAGATGCTTATAAAATTGAAACATATCAAAGAACGTATGAGCAGGAGATATACCCTCTTTCAGAACTTAGTGATTGGGAGGTTTCGGATGAACTTATGGTTGTTAACCCTCGTGTGATGGAAATACGTGAAGCCGGTAGACCAAGAAACACCAATCGTATTCCCTCTCAAGGTTAGGAACAAAAAATAACAAGGTGTAGTAGATGTCATAGCACAAACCATAATGCAAGGACGTGTAAGGAAATCATTCCAAATAACCAAAGTAAAAGTAAAAAACGTACTGGGGCGTCATGGAGTGGGACAAAAGCGAAAGAAGAGTAACCGACGCAAGCGATGGAAAACCAATGGCAACATGATCCAGAGAACCAATGGAAGCAAAATACTGAAGAACAATGGCAGAAACAGCCAAACAACCAATGGACACAACAGATTGAACATCAATGGCAGCAGCAGCCAAACAACCAATGGACACAATAGACCGAACATCAATTGCAGTAGGAGCCACATAACCAATGGACACAAGTCCAATGGACGCAAGGGACTGAATACTGACCGCAGGAAGAGCCACAAAACCAATGGCAGGGTTGCACCGATTACCAATGGCAGCAAATATCAGATAACCAGTGGATGCAAGTGACAGTAAACTTAGGGACACAAGCAACAGAAAACCCATTGACGGAATACGAAAACAAATCAAAGTTTCCGTGGTTCGATTTGAACGAATGAAGTTTATTTCATAGTATGTTTATTATGAAGGTTTTATGTTTATGTTTTCTAAAGTATGTTTTGTAACCTATAAAAAACATGGAATATTTGTATAATTTTAATTAGGTTATTTATATGCACCGGTTTATATTATGTTATTTATATGTATTTGGTTTGTATTGGGTTATTTACGAAACCTATTGAGTTAACTTCTACTTTATTTCATAGAACATAAAATACAAAACAGTAAAAATACATGGAAAACATACATCAGTAGCAAACATATTACATAAAACATTTCATTATTTTTAACTTTTATTTGTCATTTTTTTTTACATAATAATCAAATAATGTATTAGTGTATTTTAAAAAATTTAATATTAATAAACTAAAAAGAATGCAAAAAAAAAAAACAAAAAAGAAAATTAAAAAGAATAAAAAAACAAAGATTCCGCAGAGTTGTAGAGGATCCGCAGAAACGTTAATTAAGTTTATATCCAAGTATGTTTATTATGAATGTTGTATGTTTATGTTTTCTAAAGTATGTTTTGTAACCTATTTAAAGTATGTTTATTATTCACAATACCGGTTTGTGTAATTTTATAAAAAAACATAGAATATTTGTATAATTTTCTTAAACAAACAGCTTTTATAAACTGGTAATTAAATAAGAAAAATTAAAAACGAAAACAATTTTTTTTACAAAATAATCACATAATACCTTATATGATTAAAAAAAATATTAATAAACGAAAAAAATGAAAAAACGAAAAAAAATGAAAAAAAACCAAGATCCGCAAAGGTGTTCACATTCCGCAGAGGTGTTTACGGTTCCGTAGAACCCCCTCTACGGAACCTGTGGTCATTTTGTGAAATCTTCATTTTTATGGCCATTTTCTTCAAACTCACCCTATATTTTGGTCATTTGTCAAATTTTCTCTGCTTTCATTCGCATGAGAATATTAGATTGTTAAAAGAATGTTTACAAATTTGGAATTGTAATTACTATATATATATATATATATATATATATATATATATATATATATATATATATATATATATATATATATATATATATATATATATATATATATAAAAGAGTAGTTTTTTTACCATATGTCACCATTTTAAGCTTTGTAATTAATATTATGCCACTTGTCAATCTCTTGATTCCCCTTTTAAATTTCAAAATTCAAAATTTAAATTTCTCATTTTAATTACATTAAATAATAACATTTGAATAAAAAATAAAATAAAATTTATACAAATTATAATAAAATAAGATTTATACAAATTATAAGACGATATAATTTTACATATTTATATATATATATATATATATATATATATATATATATATATATATGTATATATATATATGTGTGTGTGTGTATATATATATATATGTATATATATATACACACACACACACACACTAAATGTGTGCCTGCGTAAAGCGGCGATGATAAATAGCTCTTTTGCCGAATAATTTTACTACGGGAAAATAATTAATTGATATTATTATTATTTATTATATGATAAAAACATTACCAGTTTTAAATAAAATATTTACGTTGATATATTATATTTATATTGTATGTTTATACATTTGATGTAAAGTAATTAATAGGGATATCTAGTTTTAAAATGTAAATTAAATTATATATTTGAATTTAATATTTTAAATTTGTCATTTTGCACTAAATTTAATTTCTTAATAGTCTTCCTTAATTCAAGTCTTCAAACTTTTGGTAAGTATTAATGATTTATTTATGCATAACTGATTTGTATAAAAAGTTTTGTAACTTATATCTCGTCAAACTCAAGATACGTCTAATATGTTGTATAATATAGTTTAAGACACTCACACGCTCACATGCTCACACACACACACACATACACACACACACACACATATATATATATATATATATATATATATATATATATATATATATATATATATACCATCTTATAAAGAGTATATGTTTGTGGGTCCCTTAACTTTTAAGACATTTATCTTAAAAACAAGGAGACTAAAATTGGACCATTGGATCTAAGATGAATGGCTATGATATTGTTATTGGTAATCCATGAGAAATGATTTCAACCAATCACAATAAAGAATGTAATTTTTACTCTCAAACAAACACAGATAAAGTCAAAAATAAATCCCGGTTGCCCTAATTTACATTTACCTCTCAATCCGCCGTTACGCACATTCATCCCCAATTTCTTCTCCTCTCGGAAGGCATTGAACCCACAGAAATCGGAACTCGAAAGCCATTGAATCCATCGTTCTCTCACCCTTCCTCACGAAGCCACTACAGCCAACCACCTACAAACTTCTTTTGTCGAATCATCAAATTGTCCTTCCCTTTATCGTGTATGTCGATCGATTTTGTCGTGGCTTTTGATTTCATCTACTAGGGATCAAACAATCTTGAAGTCTTCTAAGAGTGTACCGATTAAGCAAGTGAAAGGTTTGGTTTTATGACTTCGTTTGATTTACATTTCAGAAAATCTGGAACGTAACATCCCAGAGAACCTTGAACGAACCATCGTTGCTTTTGTGTCTTGGTGTTTTAGATCATTAATAGGTTATAATTCTGTTAATTGTGTTTTAAATGTTAATAACCCTAAACCATCTTACCATTTCCCATATGCTTGTTGTGTGTTTTTTCTTTGGGCTTTTCTTTTTTGATGAGTTTCTTTTATGTTTATGCATATGATTTGACAGATCTGAACACCATTAACCACTTGAAGATTCATGGGAAACCCTAAATCTACCCTTCGCTATAGAGGTCTCTCTCAAACTCACTCACTCTCTTTACCTTCTCTATCTATCTCGCTTTATCTGATTTTTTTTTTGGCAATCTTGATGGTGGTTCAAAGTATGAAAATACCAGCTGTGCTGATACCTGGATCTGAATTCATTGGTTGAAGGGCTGGAGAGTAGGATTCCTTTGGGGTTGTCAGTGGTATAAAATGCATCGACAAGAATCCCTTATGTTTCGAAAGATTTATGGACTTGGTTGAGCTCAATTATTCGCCTATTTACATGTTGATTCAAGAGAAATGATAGTATCTTGAACTTGATCACTAAAAAATGATTGACAAATTGTATGCATGATCTAATAACATTTGGATCTAAATTCTGATCTTTTGATAGCTGTTAGAAACAACTTTGTCATTTGTAGGTTTAAAACAAGAAAAAAATAACAGAAAATGAGAAGTTGATTGAGGTTTAAAAGAAAGGAGTTAAAGGACGTTAGAGAAAATGACATGAAATCTAACTTTTAACCAATTGTGGGGAGTTTCTGATTCATAAATTTGATAGTTGTATACCTTTATATGCATGCCAGGTTAATGAGCACTATTTTGAATTTGCATATGGTGCTGGTTTTTTACAACAGGTTAATCCATATCATGGTGGAGAAACTAGAAAGGTGATTGCTCACTCTACCTTGATATTACAATTTTGAACCTCTATTTGCCATCTTTCTTATTTTTTGATTATTTTTTATTAAGAATCACATCAAGTACTCATAGTTGCTCATCTTGGAATGGTAGTAGAAAAGAAGTAACTATCATTATGCATGTAAGCTTGATAAAATGGCTGTAATGAACTTATACCAATTTGTTTCTCTAAAGACTATGCATAACTTATTACATTTAGTTATTTGTTTCTGTAAAGACTCACAAGGGTTAGTTATTAGTTTATGTACAGACTATTCATAACTTATTATGTTTTCATTAAAATTACATTTTTAGTGTTTTTGATTTGACTGCTAAGGAGATCAACTGATAGTTTCTATTTGATGCCGGTTGAGTTTTCTTAGGATTTCTACAATCTGCCTTCTGTATCGGCTTGAAGACCCGGTCCTATTTTTGGGTAAACCTACATCTGTTTTGGCATCCATCTGGTAAAATAGTGTAAGAAACTATTCAGATTCTCCTCTCATTGATAAAAAAAAATGGTGTAACATTGGCTCTTCAAAATAAAGATCAGCTCCTTCTTGTTATTTTTGATAACTGTTTAATATCATTTTAAATATATGTTCAGATTTTAAATGATAATGAAAATTGCGAGGTTTGGTAATTTAAACGGGAAATTTAAGAGCTTTTATGTTTATTTACTTTGTGGATTCTCTGGTCTCTATTTAAGTTTTGATTACTGATTTTATTGATAATGATTGGAGACAGTGTTTATAACATTTTTTTTCTCATTATTCTGAATGAACATAAGTGAGTTTCAAAATATTAAGTGAAAAAATGAAAATCCTAATCTCTCACTCTCTCTTATGCTTTCAGGTCTCCGCCCCTGCTTCTCTATGTACAGTTATACAAGGAGCAAAACAACATATTGGGTGACAAAATGGTTTAGGATCTATGTTTCCTTGAATTATGTTACTATTCATGTTATCCGGGATAAATAAACATGCCGATTGGAAAGCTCATCAAGAGACTCATGGAACTTAGGATTATAAGTGTGTTTATGCCTTATGGCACTGATCGTCTCAAGGTTCGATTTCCAAACTATTTATGGTACCAAGTGGTTATGAGATGAAAACTTATAAAATCATGTAATTATCATGGTATGTGGTCTTACTTTATTGATACTAGGTGCAACTATAGATGTTCCAGCTTCTTTAACGCTTGACATCTTAGTGTCTCTAATAAGAAAAAAGTGTATATTTATCTCCTTGAATCCGTATGCATATGATCTGATATATTTCCTAAATGATTTTGTGTCTGGCTTTTGTTTTTCTCAGCTGCCATTAATTTATGTACAGTGAAAATAATTAGGGAACTAGGTCAAAATGATGGATAATGTGAATTATATATGTGTAAATAAAATATTATTATGTTTTAAAGTATTTTTGTTTTTTGGATGTTCTGCACATCACTAAAAATGGCAATGTATTTTTGTTGCTTTTACTATTCCTGTTATAACAATCTACTTTGTAAAACTTTACCGTATTACAAATTCAATATTGCAGTTGATATAACACCTCTCGGCTATGCGGTACTTGGAGATGTTAAGCTTTACCTATAGAGGACATTACAAAAGAGCATGAACTTAGGAGCCTACTATTCTGACTGCAATATTTAACTTTTCATTAATTTGGTTACTTCTCTTGTATTAATTGTTACACTTCCTGATTCAAATTTAGCTTCTATAAAGTATGATGCACACCTTAAAATATTAATCATTATAACATGATTTTGATCAAATAATACCTATTTAATCATATTTAATCATAGGTGGATGTTACTTAGTATAATGTGTTATTAGAATTATTTGTTACTTTTAACTTAAAGATGACTTATGGTTGGAATGGGATTAAGCTTTGCATCATCCACTTAAAGGGACGATGTGGCCTTAGTACAACTCCAAGTATGCTTAAGTTAAACATTAATATTCCAAAGTCCAAACCTCAATTTTTGGTCAACATTCCTTAATATAATATAAGAAAACACTTTATAAAGTTTATTTGTGAAAATCAACCTTAATTCTCAATTTTAGGTAACAAAGTATCTAATCAATGTTCGTATTTCTAATGCAAACTCCATATTTTAGACTTGTGAGAGTCTCATAGTAATGTTAAGTATTTTTTCGTTCTGATGGCTTGGTAAACTTTGAATATGGTCTATATTTTACATTTTTAACATTAACTGTCTTAATTTTTTGTAGTAATTTATTACAAATTTGAATCGTTTATGTTGTGTTGTTTGGTATACTGTGGATATATGTTTTGTGTATTCGGAGAACCTAAAGATTACAATCTTTTTAGTATGATATTGTCATTTTTTCCATTTTATTGAAATAAGACCTTGTGCAAAAAGAAACCTATTAGCCTCGAATTTGAATGGAATCTAATTGCCATAATGAAATTATTTTTTGAAAATAAAAAATATTTCTATTCATCGTCCTCCATGGGTACCTCTTTAAATTAGTGGGGACATCAACAATTTTTAGTCCTAAATAGAAAGTACTATTGTTTTTATCTCAAAGATATCAAAATCTTATGTTTATCGTAAAATCATAGTATATTTATATTGTTAAACCAAAACAACATACGTACGCTTGTTACTCCCATCCCAAACCATAATCGTAGAAACCAAACTACTTGCCGAAAATAAACAATTCACCGCCTTAGCACCATATCACATTGCAAATTAAGAACATACTTTTCTTTTTATTGTGAAACAACAACGTGCCTAAAGAATTTTAATCGCCGAAGAAACAATTCGCCAGAGGGTTGAAATTGAACAATCAAACACAAAAATGTAACTAACTGACACATTAAAACTATATGGCATCATTGCCAGAGAAAAAGTAATAGATGAAAACTACTATTTGTTATCCGTCTAGAGACAACTAATCGTTAAAAGGAACAAATCGACGGAATTAAAGTTGGACGACCGCCGAAATGACACTAATTTTCGTTCGTAAACTAATCGCCGGAATGAAACAAATCGCCGCCGCCGCATTGCGCGGGTACGCTACTAGTATATATATATATAATATATACACACACACACACACACACACACACACAAATTTAATATTTCAAAATTTTTCGTTTTTGCTCCACATTAAATTTCTGAATTAGTTTCCTTAATTCAAGTTTTCAAACTTTTGACAAGTATTAATGAATTATTGATGCATAATTGATTTGTATAAAAAACTTTGTAACTTATACCTATTATAATTCAAGATATGAGTAATATGTTTTAAAATATAATATAAGATTCATAAATTTACAATTTACAATTTTATATTATGAATTTACAATTTACAATTTTATACACTCATCACAATGATTCTTAAAGAAATATATATATTTTTACTATAAATAACAATAATAAATTTATTTCCTAAAAATCTAGAATTCATTAATTTGTTTCCTTATATAAAGATGCACAAAATGTGCAAATTAACCCTAAGACATTTTGAGATTTGAATTCTTAAAAGAAAATAATAAATGTAATAATATTCTTTCAAGAATGATTTTATTTTTCATTGATCCAATGACTAGGAATCAATTACACAGTTACATAATAGATGCTAGTTACAAATGATCATAGCCTTATATAGGGCAATATTCATGTGTTCATCTATTATATGTTATAATATATCAATAGGAATTTAGTAAAAATAAAAATATTATTTAATCAAATAAAGATAGATATTAAATGATTTCCATAATTGTTTGTATATTAAATGATATCCATCGTTATAATTTTTTTATGGAAATTAATTAAACTCGTCATTAATGGCAGCAATAACATTCTTTCAGAATTAATTCACATCTAGGCATTCATATATGAGTTATTGTTTTGTGTTAGGACCTACTCACTTAAAATACAATAAAGTTGCATGGAACATCGAGAATGAGAGTAAATTCTCTTAGAAGATACTCTTTTTTTTATTAGAATACACTCTCATTTGGTAGAATAAACTTTCATTCTGCTAGAATACACTATCGTTCTCTATGTTCCATTCATCTTTGTTGTATTTTTGCGTGAGTAGGTTATGAAACAAAATACGAACATATACATGAAAATCTAGATGCGAATTTATTCTGTAAGAATATTATTGTTGACATTAATAATAAATTTAATTAATTTCCATAAAAGAGAAATTATAGTTATGGATATCATTTAATATACATATAATTATAGCAATCATTTAATATTTATCTTTATTTGATTAAATAATAATTTAATTTTTACTAAATTTTTATTGATATAATCTAGCACACAATAGATATGGGAAACACATGAACCTATATATATATATATATATATATATATATATATATATATATATATATATATATATATATATATATATATATATATATATAAAATTAAATTAATGGTATGTATTAAATCTATTACCTTGTTTAAGTATTCACCGAACCTATATATGTATACCATATCTATTGGAGTGATACACAGAAATTCAATACAATCTATCTCTTTTACTTAAAAAAATGGTTCAACCAAGAAGTCCTTGCCAAATTCTCTTGATCATTGTTCTTTGTAGTGGTAAGTTTTTTACATATGGATTCCTTGCCAAGTAGTAAATCTCTAAGGGTTTTATTTTAATGGTTCACATTCTATCTATACATACCTAATTCTTTTCTTATTGTTTGTATATGTATAGTTTCATGCAAAAGTCCTGTCCTCATGAATCTCCATTAAACTAGCATTATTACTTCATTTCCAGTTTTGAATTACATTATTTTATTAAATTTACTATGGTATAATAACTTATCAGTATAGGCCATATATGCATGACAACATTAAAGTAATTGAAAAGTATTTCTTTGGCCATGGTTGCAGCACTATGTTGGAGACCATTGATGTGCTCAATGTTGGAAACCGTTGATGGGCCAATGGCTATGGATAATAGAGAGAGCACTGATCCAAAGAATTACTATTGTTGTAAAAGTTTTAACAGGCCGTCATGTAATCCACAAGTTTGTAACAATGATTGTACAAAAAAAGGGTGCGCGGGAGGGATTTGCAAAATAGAGGGCACCCTAAAATGTCATTGCAGATGCTAAAGAATATTGGGATTTTCTATTGATTAGAAGTTGTGTGGTGAAATAAATAATATAAGAGATATTTTATTTATTTATTTCGTATTTATAGAGCGAAATAAAAGAGTATTTAATAATAGTAAGTTACAGTAATGTGTTATGGGTGACTATTATTATGTTCTATCATCACCTGATCGAGTACGGTTTGTGTTTGTGTTAATTAGCATCACATTGGTCACATTTCATCAAAACTATGAGAGAAGTCAACATTAATTATAGAAAATGTGAACCAATTCCAAAGTTAAGGAAAAGAAAAGGGAAATTTTCATATATATTCTTGTAAACACTAATAATTACATATATATCATTTCAAAATTTATAAGTACTTATATATCCTTCTTAACCTATTAAACTCTCATTTATATCCAAACATATAATTTAATAAGCTATAAATCATTTTAATATCAAAAGATATATTTAAAAATTAAAAATACATATAAAGTTACCAAAATACCCTTTTGCAAATAAAAGATTAAATTAAAATCATGGTTAATTATGATTAATCTTGGCAATGTGATTCTCCATATCATGTGATTCTCTTTATCATAATCAAAATCGTGATTCCTCCTAATCATACGTCGACTGCAGTTGGGGTCTTCTTCATCGCATCTACTTCATTAGGTCTTCTTCCTCACGTCTTCTTCATTAGTGAAGTTCGGTTTTTCTCATCACATGTATATATCTATTACTGATTTAAGTAATTTTGGTTGTATGTTTGATTAGCTTTTGGAATTTATTAATTGTAATGTCGTTTTTTCTTCTCCTCCTATTATAATCGCAACAAGCAATCCGTTGTTTATTCAATTAATTTTGATGGATGATGAGATTGATACACCAACATGGGAAATAAGTGTTCAGTCCCCGATAATTGAGTAAGTTCTTACAAGCAAGATGAATGATATTTTATGTGGCACTTCAATTCCATTAATTATTTTTTTCATTATGGTTGTCAAGCAAGTAATATCGAAATACAAGTTCAAACTGAAATATGAAGGCTTCTTTCAGTTAGCCAGGAACTCATATAAGCAAGTATATTATTTTGGATTTACAAAATCTCTTTATGTAGACACATGTTCGTACGACTTAGATCATCTAGTTGAAGAGGTGAAAAAACAGTATCCATCATAAAGCGATATTGTTTTGTCAATTGTATTTTTTGACAAACATGCAAAAGAGCATTGTTTTATTGAACTTGATAATGTTGATAGCTTCATGGTGATGCTTAACATGTATAATGAAGAGAAAGAAGTAACAATTTATGTGACAACCGAAAAATTAAGGTATAACCCTAAACCATTTAGTTGTCAAAATCAAGTTAATGATGAACTTGATGATGAAAATGAGACAGACTCAGTTTGTCCAAGTCAAGAAAGCTATCATAGTCTTCATAGTTCCGATAATGAATATAAGCTTCTAAATTATGGCGAAACTTATGCATATAGTAAGTTAAATCCATTTATGAAAGTGAATTCTAAATTCCCTAGTGTAATTGCTTTTAGAAGAGCATTGAATCATTATGCACTAACAAATTAATTTGAGTATGTCATTGAGAAAAGTGATTTGACAAGACTTACAGCATGTTGTGGAGATAAAAAGTGTAAGTGGAGAATTCATGGTTCTCTTACACAAGATGGGTTTACTTTTGAAGTAAGTATAAAATTTGAGAAATACTACATTCATCGACATTGATATTATGTTAACATAATTATATGTTTATTTTTCAATTTTGTAGGTAAAGAAATTTATAGAAACTCATTCTTGTACTCGAAGCAACAAGAGTGGTAACAAAAATGCCACTCAATGATGGATTGTTGATGTTGTTACCGACAAGTTGAAATCTGAAGGCGACGTCTCTCCTGCAGACCTAAAAAGGTGGCTTATGCATACCTACAATGTTGAAGTACCATATATGATAGTCTTTAGAGGAAGAGAACAAGCTTATACCGATATGTATGGCAAGTGGGATGACTCTTATGCAAATATATAGGATTTCAAACAAGAACTTGAAAAAAAAACCCATGAAGTGTGGCGGAGATTGATTTACAGACAATTGGTGAAAAGAAACATTTCCTACGCTTTTTATATCATTAATATCATGCTCTAAGGGGTTTCTTGCTAGTTTTCGTCCTTACATTGGGCTTGACGCTTGTCATTTGAAAGGGAAATTTAATGGTGTGTTAGCTGCTGCCACAAGTATTGGCGGTAACAATGGTATGTTTCCAGTAGCCTATGGTGTGCTTGAGGCAGAGAATACAAAATCATGGACTTGGTTTCTCGCGTCACTAAAAAAAGCGATTGGTACACCAAATGGTCTTTTTATCTCTTCTGACATGCAAAAAGGCTTGGAATTAGCTATTACACAGGTTTATCCTAATATTGAGCATCGAAAATGCATAAGACATTTATGTAGCAACTTTAAGGAACATTTTCGAGGTGACTTTTTCATGAGAAAACTATGTGAGGCTATAAATACATACTCTGTTAGTAAGCATGATAGATCATTAAAGGAAATTGCTACTAAATGTGCAGATGCAATTTCATGTTTGAATGAGAACCATAAAAAGATATAGAGTTGAAGTAAGTTTGGCACACTTGTCAAATGTGATTACATTACCAACAACATTTCAGAAACTTTTAACTCTTGGATAGGTGACATACGTTATAAACCGGTTCTTGGTCTCCTTGATGCAATTAGAGAAAAGCTTATGGAACGATTTGACAATAAAAGGAGTAAGGTGCAAAAATGGAAAGGGCCACTTCTACCAAAAGTAAATAAGTATCTCAAAACAATCATTAAGGCAAGTTAAGGAACTATAGATATACATAACTATTTTTGCATTATACATATATATTTTTCTAGATATTAGGTTGTTCTTTTTTTTTATTTTCTCATGTAGAACTTGGGTGAATATCAAGTTTGTAGAAGCAGTGATAATAAAGCAGAAGTGAAGTA